TGTGGTAGCAAATCTACTGATATTTGTTACTCATACTATCAGTATTTAAATTTTCGCAGAAAATAATAATCAGTAGTACATCGTACTGATGAGAACCAATATAGTTTGAAACAAATGTATCTAACAATATTTTTCATAAAGAGGGGAAAGGTAAGTATATATGTCTACTTTGTATCACAGTAATCACTATTAATTACTAGTAATTATCTTTTCTTTTCCTATTTATAACAGAATAAATTTAAGTACATGCATTTAAAAAACAACTGCTTATGCATTTTTTAGTCATTGCTTAAAAAGTGAAACCAATATTAGCCTCTTAATGGATCTACCTACTAAAACAGTCAATCTTTTATACCATTATTGTGTGTAACTTACATGAAATGAAATTCATAAATCATTGACTACATAATTTTGTAAAAAAAATCTGGTCAATTTTTACATTAGAACTGATATTTTTTTACAAAACTTTGTAGTCAATGATTATGAATTTTATTCCATATATAAGTTACATAATATTATGGTATATTTAAATTTGCCGCCAAGTGCAGCGTAATAAAGCGACATCTGTTGCATAGTTTTGTTCATAGGCCGGGTGTAAGATGGCGCCAGTTGCGTCTGGAGCAAGTGATGCTTCCAATGAAAGACAAGGAAATAAAGCCTCTTATTTAGTTACTCATATGGGTATGTTATAACAATAAGTGACAGTAATTTTTTGTTTAACTCCCGGCCAAGGGTGAAAAAAGATAAAACAAAGGGTTTTTCAAGATAACTCAAACGGGTAAGGGCTAAAAGTTGTTAAGCATACAATTCTACATAAAAATGGCCTCTTGACCTTTTCTTGTATTATTAAAATTAACAGAGTTAGGGAGGCTAGAAGTTAAAGGAAGATTTCAGAAATTTAAAAAATCATAAGCAGAAAAATGAATGAATTTTTTTTTTCGATCTACTCTAAAAAATGTAACCTTTCTTTTCAGAGAAATAGATATATTTTTTAATTTTTAATTAAAGAAAGTTATAACAATTTCAAATTTGTTGTTCACAGGTCAATTTAATTTTGTCAATATCTTTACATAAATCATATTTTTAATTCTTAACCTTACCTTAACCCTTAACCTTAATCTTAACCTTTAACTAGTTAGACTATTAATGTCTTCGGAGATATTTTGGAAAATATTAATTTTTTCAAATTTCAACACCTGACAAAGAAAATTCACCGGAAATCGTGGAATTTTTCCATTGAAATGTGCAACCAAAAATATATATCGATAATATGATATTTATATCTACAAGTATGTGCCTTAAGATAAGATTGCGATATAAAGTAAATACATATTCAGTGAAAGATATACTTCTATATTAGTTAAGCAGAAGTGAAAAATATGGGTCAAAGTTGTGGACGCAGTGTTAACAAAGATGTTGCAGAATGTGAAAGATTAATCGAAGTAAAAAGTACGGATGAAAATTATAAAGAGCAAAGCCAATGTTTAGATGAAAAAGGTAAATAAAAGTAGGTATGTGGCATGTGGTTAGTTTTTTATTTGAGGAAATTTAGATAAGTTCGAGGATAAGTGGTAGAAGATCCAATAAAATATTAATGTTTATCCAATTATCTAAATAAAATTATTACAAGGTCTGTCCAGAAAATAACGGAACTTATTTTTTTTAATTTATTATTAATTTTATACATTATTGGTCCTCGTCTCCTTCAATGTACTGTCCTTCCCTTATTCACACTTTTCTCAGCGGTTCGTTCATTTCGCGAAGCAGCCCTGGATAGCTTCATTTGCAATGGCCTTTAAAGTCTGCGACGAATTTACCTTACAATAGTCTAAAAATGGCGTTCGTTCAGCACTGATTTAAATTTCGGAAAAAAGAAAAAATTGCAAGGGGCCGGGTCTGGCGAGTAATTAGGGTGAGTGAGGACAGTCTGAGATCTGATTTTTGGCACAAAACTGAAATTGATAAAGCTTAGCGTGCGGGCGCATTGTCATGGTGCAAGAACCATGAGTTGTCTCGCCACAACTATGGTCTCTTTTTGCGGATTTTTTCACGTACATAACCGTTGTAAAACACCTTGATAATACACACTGTCACTGTTCACCTTGAAGCAAGAATTCAAAATTTCATTAAAGTCGAAAAAAACAGTGTGCGCCACTTTGATATTTGATCAAAACTGGCATGCTTTCTTGGTGTGGAGATCTAGATTTCATTTTTACAAAATTTTTACCAAAGAGTACCTACTGAATAATAAATTCTTCCCAAACAAACAATTTTTCTCGTTCTGTTTATAATTTTGATGTCAGCAGACATGGGCGCCCGCAGGGGGGAGGGGGGCGTTTAATATTCTCATGTACAAGTTGAGAAAAAATATTTATATATATATATATATATATATCGTAAGAAAAAATGTTTAATGTAATTAGCTGCTTATAACAAAAATTTAAATAACAGAAAAATTTAAATGAAAAAATCTTGTTGACACATTTTTTATTTGACCTTTTCTTTTTATAAAACCGTTTAATTTATTAGTTTTATGTCTCATGCATCGTTTGTATTTGGCAACAGAATTAATGTATATAAACGCCGAACAATGGCTTTGGAATAATGTTTTAATTTAATAAAAATTAATGGTGAACCCATCATTATAATACTGAATATTAGTAGAATTAGTGGATAGAGTTATTTATCTTGTTTTTTTACGTTTTTTTAATAATAATAATAATTATTTATTTACAAGATGTTTTAGTTTATACTCGACGGCCAAAATTATAGATAGTGATTCATCGCTAGCTCTTGGACTAGTAAGGGGGATGAAGCGTGCTGGGAACGAAAATCCATTGGCGTGTCTGTGTAAAAGGCAACAAGATATATAAAATATTGAAAAAACATAATAAAACATTACATCTAATATTTTTTACGGTTTGCTATAACCGGCACTTTGATCAATTTTAATTATTACAGCATTTTAAAACGTCCCAATTGTGTTTTTTTAATTTATAAATAGACCCCTCGTCTACGCTTATGCTATGACGTTTCTCAGGGCGGGCAAATCAAGTCCGTTTACACCCACTAAAAAAGCATTTCCCTATTCCCTACCAAGTCCAAAAGACAGAGATAAAATATAGATCGACGTTCAGTGTAACTCAGTCTATACACGATTATAGATTCTACCGATGTGCATGGCGAGCGGCACAAAGATAAATAATATTGAACCGTATAGAAATCATTTTATATTTTCACACTCTTTATAATTTCGGCCGCCGAGTATAGACGTAATCCTGATAATTGTTAAATTTATTTAGATTTTGTGCTCTAAACCAATGTAATTTTAGTTTTTGTTATCTTGTTTAACACACTTTATTTTAGTAATAACTCTTTTTGTATCTATCTCCGATATTTATAAAATGTTACGCAAGAAGTTTTAGACGTACAGTGTCTGAAAAATGCTTGGAAAATGGAAATGAAATTTGGTGTAGAATGGTAGAAGTTATTTATGAATTGATTAATTGCAGTATAAACCAACAAATTGCATTTCCATTACCGTAAACGCTCTTAGGCCAACCAATAGAGATTTTTTGGAACACTTTACAGCAAATTTCATGTATTACTTTTTGAAAAATACTTAGTAAATAAAAACCCAAGTGATTTCGCCAGCAAACTGAACAATTTTTTTTAAACAATAAAAACTGCAAAAAATACTACCTTTTTGGTTTTTTATATCTCGAAAAATAATGATGCAATCGTCCTACTCTCAATAGGACTTTTGTAGAGAATAAAAAACCTATAAAATGGTTTTTTGTGCGACTGATCGGTTCATTTTTTACAGATAAAATTCGGAAAAACCTCTAAAATAGACCTTTTTTCGAAAATTCATAACTCCGTCAAATTTGAAGCTGGAAAAACAATTTTGCGGAAAATTACAGCCTAATAATATGTAGTTTAATCGTGCGCAAGATGGTTTCTGTCCCATGCATAGTTTTTGCACAATTGCATTATAAACAAATTACCTGATGACCCTAAGTGTAATGGACAATTTTGTAGCAAGCTGGCTCGTGTTACCATTCCCGTGATTGCCAGTGTGGTTGGACAATCAGGTTTTGCAGTATAACCAAACTATACAGGATAGAAGCATAAAAGAACATTATGTTTTATACAATTGTAAACAATAAAATGTTCCAAATTGTATTTAAATTATATTCATTAATTTATAAAAATTGGAAATTTTTAACTGGAAACATAGTCGTAAAAATTAATTTTGTTTCTCCCAAAACAATACATATTATCTATCTACTTGGAACAATAAGACCTTTTTGTAGAATATCTTAATGATCCTTATTATTAAATGTTGTAAATTAATTTATTATGTATTAGTTGTTTATTTATTTATTATAATTATTATTTTGGAAAGGTGCAAATATATTTGCTATTTATTATTTGAATTTGAAAAAAGGCGCACATCTAAAAAAAAATATTTTTGATAAAATAATAAGAAACAAATACCTAACTTTAATGTTATGAAACTCAAATTATACCTAATTTTAAAAAAAGTGTCGTAGGACATGAGAGTGATTTTCTAAATATGTTTCTTATAGACACTTTGTGTACAGGGCGTTTCTGAAATAAGTGCGTTCCTTGAAAACGGTGATAGAGAGCATGAAAATGAGTAACTTTTATTAAGCAACTGATGATCTAAATGTTTCTGTTTCCGAGAAAATTAATTAAATCAACCATAAATGTAAGTCGACCCTGTGCGTCTTGTGCGTTGTGTGTGTATTAGGTACTTAGCCGATCTTTACAATTTCATTTGAATTTTCATATATTATTTATAAAGTTTCTAAAGAGTACATATTAATTTAAAAATAATTCGTCTCAAAAAATTCACTAATATTCACTTTTTTTAGGAAAGAAAAACAAATTGTTAAATTTGATAACTAAAGAAAATGAAGATGAAAATGATTTTCAGGAGATTAAGAATATTTTAGAAGAAAACAAAACATTTTTAACCGATCAATACTGGATGGATCAAAAAATAAATTCAATTTTACGTATAGCCAAATATGGGTTCAATAAGGGATATGCCATTAAACAAAAGATAGTACTTATAATTATAGATGTGGGTTATAGGTTATTCGAATTTTCAGAGAATTTATCCATTTACGATATGAGCCATTGTCTCTTTTTTGTTGCCGCTAAAGGCGATTTAAGACAATTAATTGAAATAGTTACTCATTTCAAAACTTCTGGCAATGTGACAAAAATACACGATACTCGTGAAGGTGACACTATACTTTCCTTCATGGCAAAATTTGGGGACTATATTCAAGAAGATTTTCTAAATTGCTTTAGATTTATGTTGGATCAAGGTGTTGATATTGAAAGAACCGACTATTACAAAAATAATTTAAAACAAATTATTGCAAAGGAAATGAAGATTTTTCAAGAAGGTGAAATTTGTGAGATATTGAAAACAATGTATAATATTGTAGATACATTTGCCAAACCAATTGCCTATAATGCTGACTCAACATTGAGCCATAAATACCAGCTTTTCCAGGCAATTATACACGGCAGTAAAAACTTAATTGACGTTTCTGAAGATTATAAACATCTGGTAAATTCAGATGATGGAGAGAATACCCTTCTGCAATTAGCTATAATTAAAAATAATGTAGTCATAGCAAAAGAATTATTAAATATGGGTGCGAATCCCAATCAAATAGTAAAAGGAAGAAATGAAGAGGTTCCTTTGGTATTAGCTGGTAAACTAGACAGACATAACATTTTTACAGAAATATTAAAGAATAAGGATATTGAGATTAGCGAAAGCACTTTTGTCGAGTTAGTGAAAAAATCAAAATGGAAGTTTACAAATCCCTTGTTGGAGTCAAAAAAATTGAATGTTGATTTTGAACATAAAGGAAAAATACCACTGCAGTATGCTATAAAAGCAAAAAATAGAAAAGCTGTAAAATCCTTACTTGAAAGGGGTTCTTGTGTTAATGACACTTGTTTACGTAATATCAATCCCAAAGATTTAGAATATTACTTAAATTCATGCATACATTCTGACTACCAAAAAGATTTGGAAGAAAACAGTTACAAGTCGTTTCTGGTCTTTGACTTTTTTCTAAACTCTTCTAGAAAATTTCATAAAAAGAAAAACCCACATGATAATTCTAATGAGTCGGGACAACTATATAACGGTTCACCTGGCAAGTTTGAATCTGAAGTTGCAATTATTCGGAACATTGGAAACATGAAGAGGCTCAAACATCTACTAGAGCATCCCTTAGTGTACATATATATTATGCTTAAGTGGCATTGTGTATGGAAGTATTATTACTTTTTTGTTATCCTTAAATCAATTTTCTATTTAATTATTAACATTTTACTATTCACAGGCTCATTTAATTTTTACATAGCAATTCGTGTCCTATTAATACAAATTGCAGTTGTGTTCTATAATTGTTATTCCGAATTTAGATTAGAATTTAAGAGATATACTTTACACTTTATTTTAGAAATTTTTATACTCTTATTCCTAATAGCTTTAATTTGTTTAAAACTAACTAATGATATTGGTGTTGTCAATCAGATATCAGCTTTTGTAATTATTTTCACATCTGTGTCTCTTCTACAGACGATAGGTTATCATTTGAAATTATCAAAATGGATGTCAATGGCCAAACGTGTTTTTAAAAGTTTCAGTATATTGTTAATATTCTTTATGATCCCTATCATTGCATTTGCGATGTCATTTACATTGTTACTCTCGGTTAACGAAGAAACGAGCAAAGCCAATGAAGTAGATTTTTCCAGTTTTCCTCGAGCACTTTCTAGAACATTAATTATGATAGGCGGTGATATAGGCGATAAAAAATTTACTGGGTTAGGTAGTTATTTACTCTTTCTTTTCTTCACCGTCGGTATAGCTATAATACTACTAAACTTTTGGACTGGTGTAGCAGTTTCAGATATTAAAGAAATAGAAGAACAATCAACGATCGTAGCTTTCAAGAATGTCATAGTATTTATAGAAAGCACAGAAAAAATATATCATTTTATTTTCTATAGGATAATAAAGAAATGTTTACCCATGATACTCAAATATATTCAGGTGCCTTTCTTAGAGTCAAAAATATATTTAAATGATAATAAATTTTGCTTTGGTATCGATTTTTATATTAACTCTGAAACACATTTTCAAAAATGCATTTATTTTGAAAACTGTAAAATACCATCCAACATTATATCAAAGTTGAAAACACTATCTGAACAAAAAAAAGATGAAACAAAATTACTTGAAACTATCATGACAAAATTAAGTAAACTCGAACAGTTGCTTCAACTTAAGAATGTTAAAAATAAATAGACACGAATTACAACATTGTACTTGATGTTCACTTATCGACCATATTAAAATTTCATTCTGTTTTTATACAGGGTGTTCCTAAATAAGTATCGCAACGGAAAACTGTATATTTCTCTTGAAAAGAGAAACATTATTTTCCTCTTCCATTTTTCTCTCCGGGCTTTCGTTTTCGAGATACACGGTTTTAAACTTTTTTTCAGATTTTTGCCAATATCTTAGGAACCGTTTGAACTACAGGACTGAGCTTTTGTACACACATTACCACTATTAATAGCTACTTGTGGCAAATGTTGTTGAATTTCGTTAAACTTGTTAATTATTACTATCTATCTTTTGAATTACAAAAGATTTTCGAAACGTTAGCAAAATGTTTGTTTTTGTTCATAAAATGTAATTTTTCTTGAAAACGGTTGTCTTTAGAGTAATGAACCAAGAGAACTCTTTTTGTGTAAAATTCATTGGCGCTTCAGAATTTGCTGTCAAATGTCAATTTTTCCAGTGGTGTAAAAGTTAGGGGGGGGGACCCTTACGATATCTTAAAATCTCCACCACTGGCACGTTCAATGAATTTGAGAAGGGTGCAAAAAAGTAGCTATTAATAGTGGTAATGCGTGTACAAAAACTCAGTCCTGTAGTTCAAACGGTTCCTAAGATATTGGCAAAAAATTTAAAAAAATGAAAGTTTTGACACCGTGTATCTCGAAAACGAAAGCCCGGAGAGAAAAATGGAAGAGGAAAAGAATGTTTCTTTTTATAAGAGGAATGTACAGAGTTCCGTTGCGACACTTATTTAGGAACACCCTGTATAATTTATATTCGTGGAAGGTTATTTACACGTAAATAATAGTTTCCTACTAAAAATTGCAAAATAAAATTTAGAATAATCAAAAAAGACCATTGAAATAGATAGTGTTGCTAATTTTTTTTTTTTACAAAACTAATGATATGACCTAAAACACCTCAGATTTTCTTAACGATACTAGTGAATTATAGAAAATGCTTGAAATGAATTTTCACATTTTAAAGACAAGTTTGATTGGTTTAAAATTCAATTTGTATCATAATTTTGTTTTTGAAAAATTAAGTTATCTTGGTAAGAGCAAACACTATTTGCTTTTTAAGAAAAATTCTATTTTTATAGGAGATATAGAAAATTGTTGTTACGAAGTATTATTCAGAATTAATAAATCAATAAATAATGAAAATATGCGGTGTACAAGAAACACTAGCGACCCTAGTGGTAAAAAGTATAAGTAATTTCTACTATTACATTGATAAATTTGTCAATTTTCCCGTATGAGTTCGTGCTCCTTGTCTAGTCTCCCTGCTTTGTAACTTGCTCAGTAATATTCTTGACAGTTGACAGAGAGGTTAGATAAAAAGTATACTTTGTGGTACAAAATTCTAAATGACAGAAGTTAATACTCAGTACTGTGCTAAAACTTTTTGATATATTTTTACTTCATTAGTTCCTCGAAGTCAAGAGCGCCATAGGCATACCTTAAAATACGAGGTTTGATGAAAAAGTAATGGGACTTTTCAAATTGCGCATGTTGTATCTTGTCTACCTAGTATTGGTAGCACTGTCAGTGACGTACAGGTCAATTTTTAGGTAGCTGCTAGAGTTAGTTTGTGTTTAACGAGCGAATGAGTAGAGTCCTACTCATTCAGATACTCAGGTAAATCAGGTACTCAGGTAATTCAGGTACTCAGATAGTTCACGTACTCAGGTAAGTCTACCTCAATTTTTTTGGCGATTTTTTGTGTGACAAAATGTAGGATCAGGGAGTTTGTCTGATATTTTGTGTTAAAAACGGAATTAATTGCAGCGAAGCGTTCAAAATGTTAAAGAAGGCTTTGGAACCGGTACTTTGTCACATCCCCGAGTTTTATCAATGTATAAAAGTTTTCCAAAGGCCAAGAAGACATTAAAGGTGAGGCGGGATCTGGTCAAATGTGAATGTCCTTCTAACAGTTTTCTCCAACTACAATATCATAGTTCATCACGCTTGCCCCATACACTTAACAAGGAGTCCTACCTACAAGTTTTACGCAATTTGCGTTAAAGCAGGAGAAAACGACAAGAACACGAGAGACACCTCGTGGATTATGCACCATCTCAACGCACCGGCGCATACCGCTTTGCTTTTCCAACAGTTTTTAGCGAAACACAACCCTTGTGATGCCACAACCACGCTATTCTCCGGACATGACCTCTGTGACTCTTTCCTATTTCCTAAACTCAAAAGGATACTCAAAGGGCACAATAGCAAATCATACTCAACGACGATACCTAAAGAGGCGTTCCACCAGTGTTTCACAAACTGGAAACTACGTTGACATAATTGTACGCGAGGCGCAGATGGCTCCATCTGTCGTGCTGACTCCCAACTGTGCCATTCAAATGACTACAGTAGGAAGCGACCTGCTATATTGTCAGGTACTTTGTTGCCCGACTGCCGCCCACAGAGGGCGAAACACAATGTTTTTAATTGCCAGTGTTGCGAGAAAATACTATTCCGCGGGCTATATGCCCCGACCAGCATTGAATTATACTGAATTGCACAAGGTGTTGCGAGTATAATTCAATGCCGGTCGGGGCATATAGTCCGCGGAGTAGTTGATTCTCGCAACACTAGCAATTAAAATACGTTAAAATTAACAATTTCCGGTACTTTTTTATCAAACCTCGTATAAATTTTTTATTTTAAAATTTTATGAATTTTGTAAGTGCTTAATTGTAAACATAGATGTTGGTACTGACATATAAGCAAAAAGAATTCATAACACATGCTTATTGGCAACGTAACAAATTATTTTTTCCCGAAATATAGGTATACTGAAATTCCAAAAATTTTTCTGTTACACCTATCGTTAAGAAAAAAAAAAGCTTGAAGTATACTTCCACAGGGACTGTCAGTGTTATTAACTTTGTGGATATACGATACGTATCCACTATCCATAGAAATCATTGCACCATCGTAACCATTATAATACCTTACTGAGGTTTATGATGCACAACGGTCGAATTAAATTAAGAATAACAACATAGCCATATTTATACGAATTGGTATGGATATATCCGTAGATTTAACAATATTATTGACTATAATTTATATGGAAAATAAAACTAACTACAATTTGTATTAAGCAATGTATTTAAAACGCCATATCTAATATTATTACAATTTTCTTTAATGTATTCGTTTTCTATTTTGTTATAAAATATTTATAATTGTGTTAAATAAATATTGATAAAATCTCAAAATTTTATAGAGAAATGGCTTCTTACTTTTTTAACTTCCAAAAACAAAAAAAAAATAGAAAATGTATTTCGATCTTCCCTGGTTACATGCCTGTAGATTCCACAAATTATTACATTTATAAATTTTATGTAAATAATGATTATCGATCTTTGGAGCAAATTCGTTTATTGTCATTTATTTTGTACAACTATTTACAGCCAGGATGGATTCCAAAAACAACACAACTACGAGTGTGCATAATGTGACATAACTGAAGCTAACCAATGTCAAGGTCAAATTTATCTCGATAGTTTCTATGTTCTATAATGAATTTTACCTACGACCACTAGGTACTGTAAATACTTAAAAACACACCGTCTGCGATCAATGTAAGATTCCTATTACGTACGGTAAAACAATCGCACAGTTTTCCTAACAAAGGTCAATACAATACTGTTTGTATTGACCGTTGTTAGGCGGTTGCTAGGAAAACTGTACGATTTTTTTACCAAGCTGTGCGATTTTTTTACCGTACGTAAAATAGGAATCTTACATTGATCGCGTGCGTTTTTAAGTATTTACAGTAGTGGTCGTAGGTAAAGTATAGTACGTAATACGTGGTGTAATGCAATTACGCACTCGTAGAATTACGCACTCGCCGCTACGCGGCGTCGTGCGTAACTTTTCCATTCGTGCGTAAAATGCTTTTTACAACACATTACGTAATATACTATTATATAACACAATATGTATTGTGATAAAATATATTTTAATAAATATTTAAATTGCAGTAGTTAGATACTTTCCTTGTTATCGAAGATAATAATATTTGTTATGGC